CAAAAATAAAGCTGTAAGCTAAAAACTTGATAGGTTTGTTTTGTCCTTATGATCCATCACTCCAAGTCGCAATGGTGTAGTTGGGAGCATGACAGACTGAAGATCTGTTGGTCACTGGTTCGATCCCGGTTTGTGACAAATTTTTCTTTTTCTTTTCCTTTTCTTATGCTTTTCGCTGCATGACGTTCATACTAAGTTATATTTAGCGTTCGTTCATTCAGCAAAGTGATGAAAGATTGCTATTTGTAGCAAACCATTCACTCACCCACCAGGAGCTGTTACAAGAGAAATGAGACCAAAACTTTATTTTATAACCCAGGAAATCAAATATTTAATATCGTAAAGGACGATAGCAAATGGAGCAATTTGTGCAATTCATTATCGAAGATCTATCGATCTATTTAAATGAAAGTGTACTAACAGATTTTCGTTGTTAAAACATCAGTACCAATAACTTTTTCTTTTCTTTTCTTTTTTCTCTTCTCTTTTTCTTTTTCTCTCATTTTTAGTTTTACTTTACTTTTACTAACTATAACGAATGTCATAAAACAGAGAACGAAACTGCGTTAAAAAAGACACTTTCGGAAAAAAGTCTCCGTCAGGGGGAATCGAACCCCCGCCGCATCGGTGAGAGCGATGAATCCTAGCCACTGGACCATGACGGATTTCTTGCTATAAATTACAAAATATGTATAATCAGTTTTTATTATTTACGTTTTGGCTAACTGGTGTTCTCTGTATGCAGGATGCATAATAACAGGTTCTTTGATGTCAGGATAAACGAAACAGACGGATGGGTTTTCTCAAATTCTTGCTCTTACTAGAAAGAATACTATAAAGGCCGTTTTCATTTCACTAGACACATAGAGCCTATGTTATCTGCTGGAAGCGATAACGATTTGCGTATAATCATCTATAGAAAAGAATAAATACATGCAAACAGGCAAAAAAAAAGAAGAAACAAAAAAATGGTAAGAATTTTATGCATATATAAGACTACAATTTCGAGGAATGGGAAACGGAAAACAAATAAAAGCGGAATAGAGGAGATATTAGCATAAGACTGAAATGAAAACAAAATAAAAAAAAAAGAGAGAAAAATAAAAACAAAGATAAGATAATTGTAATAGTTAAGTAACGTAAAAAAAGGATTGAAAAAGTTTTGACCAGTGAGGGATTCGAACCCTCGCATCATTCGATATAGCAAGACTTGTACAGTCCAAGTTTTCACTTGAGTGCTACGCCATAGACCGCTCGGCCAACTGGCCATTGGTTGTTTTGTTTTGGCTATTTATTAGATACTAAGTATTTACTATCAAACTATCAAACTACCAACCATACAATTCCATTTCATACCATACCCCTTCTTGTTCAAGTTTTCTCATTCT